TCCAAAGATTTTCTGCCACAAGTTACGGCGCCATCTGGAGACGAGACCAGGCAGAGAGGCAGAACAAAATTAACCCCAGAGGAGAGACAATGCCGCTTCGCTTCTAACCTCTGTCTCTACTGTGGTCAACCTGGTCACCGACTCTCAAGTTGCACCCTGCGTTTAAAAGGGGCAGGCCCACCAGTAGTTCCGGGAATACTGGTGGGTGCGAATGAGACTTCTGAATCCCGCTGTACTCTGTCCTGTGCCATTATGTTTAACCAAGGCAGTTATATGTTGAAGGCCCTGTTGGATTCAGGCTGTGAACACAATATGCTGGATAATACAGTCGTTCAGAAGCTGGATATCCCCACTATTCCTCTTCCAACTCCTTTGAAAGCATCATCCCTGGACGGAGGTACACTCACCACCATCACTCACCAGACTGTGCCTGTAAATTTACTGGTGTCAGGTAACCACCAGGAGAGTATTTCCTTTTGTGTGTTTCCGTCTCCCCACTCTCCTGTAGTTCTTGGACATGACTGGCTTGTCACCCATAATCCCCAAATAAATTGGAGAACGTCTCAGGTTGTCGTTTGGAGTTCTCACTGTTTAACCAACTGCCTTCGCTCTGCTTCACCTTCCAGTTCTGCACCTACCCCCGATCCACCGGTTCCTCCCGACTTGTCAGGAGTACCAGAGGAGTACCACGGTCTTTCCCTCGTCTTCAGTAAGGACCGTGCCTCCTCTTTGCCCCCTCACCAACCATATGATTGCACCATCGACCTCTTGCCGGGCGCCCCACTACCATCCAGCAGGTTGTATAATCTGTCTAAACCTGAACAAGTCTGTATGTCCACCTACATACAAGAATCGTTAGCCTCCGGTTTAATCAGACCATCCACTTCACCCCTGGGCGCAGGTTTTTTCTTTGTATCCAAGAAAGATGGTTCCCTGAGGCCCTGCATAGATTACAGGGGTCTCAATCAGATTACAGTTAAGAACAGATATCCACTCCCGTTACTTTCCTCAACCTTTGAACCTGTACAAGACGCCACTATCTTTACTAAACTGGACCTGCGCAATGCCTACCATCTCGTTCGTGTTAAAGAGGGTGATGAATGGAAAACTGCTTTCAAAACTCCTTTAGGTCATTTCGAATACCTGGTCATGCCTTTCGGTCTCACAAATGCCCCTGCCGTATTCCAGTCCCTGGTCAACTCAGTCCTCGAAGATTACCTCAATCAGTTCGTTATGGTATATCTGGATGACATCCTGATCTTTTCCAAATCCCCAACAGAACACCGCCAACACGTCAGAGCCGTTCTTCAACGCCTCCTGGAGAACCGCCTGTACGGGAAAGCAGAGAAATGTGAGTTCCATGTTCCATCGGTCAAGTTCCTCGGTTTCATCCTCGAGAGCGGGCGGTTGAAGACAGATCCAGACAAGATTCAATCAGTTCTCTCCTGGCCTACTCCCACAACACGTAAGCAACTGCAGCGTTTTCTGGGTTTTGCTAATTTTTACCGCCGATTCATTAAGAATTACAGTCAGACTGCTGCTCCACTCACTCAACTCACTTCCATAAACAAACCTTTTATTTGGTCTCCCGCTGCTTAAAAGTCATTTCAGGACTTAAAGAACAAGTTTACCCAAGCTCCTATTCTCACTCGTCCCGACACCTCCGCCCAGTTTACCCTGGAGGTTGATGCCTCAGACTCTGGTGTCGGTGCGGTTCTCTCACAAGTCTCTCCCTCAGATCACCGTCTCCATCCATGCGCCTTCTTCTCTCGTCGCCTCACGCCTGCCGAGCAGAATTATGACGTCGGAGATCGGGAACTACTGGCCATTAAACTAGCTCTGGAGGAGTGGCGGCATTGGCTGGAGGGAGCAGAACACCCCATCATTATTTGGACCGATCATAAAAACCTGGCATACCTGAAGGAAGCAAAGAGACTAAACCCCCGACAGTCCCGCTGGTCTCTATTCTTTTCCCGTTTCCAATTCCTTATCTCTTACAGACCCGGTTCCAAGAACACCAAGCCGGACGCTCTATCCCGTTTGTACTCACCCGACAAGGACCCAGAACTCACCCCAATCCTGCCACCATCCTGCATCGTGGGCGCTGTGGCCTGGGACATCACCAGAAAGGTGCAGGAGGCCCAACAAACTGAACCAGATCCAGGTACCGGTCCTCCTCATAAAATGTACGTTCTAACCAGGGTTTGTGGTGATCTGATCCATTGGGCCCATACGGCAAGATTCTCAGTTCATCCTGGGGTCGGTCGAACCCTGGCTCTCATCCGCAGAACCTTCTGGTGGCCATCCATGTTCAAAGATGTCCGTGAGTACATCAACGCCTGTTCCATCTGTGCCCGTAACAAATCAAGTAACCAACCTCCAGCCGGACTCCTCAACCCTCTGCCTGTACCCACTCGTCCTTGGTCTCACATAGCTTTAGACTTCGTTACTGGTTTACCCGCCTCTAATGGTTTTTCTGTCATCCTCACGGTAGTTGATCGTTTTTCCAAATCCTGTCACCTGGTGCCTCTCAAAGCACTCCCGTCCTCTGCCGAAACCGCCCAACTTCTGATCAAACACGTTTTCCGTCTGCATGGCATTCCTTCTGAAATACTGTCTGACCGTGGCCCCCAATTCCTGTCCCGCGTTTGGAAGGAGTTCGCTGACCACCTGGGGGCTCGTGTTGCTCTTAGCTCTGGATTCCACCCACAGACTAATGGACAATGCGAAAGGATGAATCAGGAGCTCGAGGCCATGCTCAGGTGTGTCTGTTCCTCCAACCCCTCTAGTTGGAGTTCCCAACTTCCCTGGGTAGAGTACGCCCATAACGCTCATACGTCTGCATCCACTGGCCTGTCTCCATTTGAAACCGTTCTTGGCTACCAGCCTCCTCTTTTTCCGTCTACCCAAGATCCTCCTGTTTCCGCTCCCCAGTTCATTCGCCGTGCCAGGCGCGCCTGGGTCCAGACCACGGCGGCTCTGCAGAGGACTGCAGACCGTAACCGCCGCCTTGCGGATCGACACCGACGACCAGCTCCGGTGTACACCCCTGGGCAGAAGGTCTGGCTGTCCACCAGGGACATCTGCCTGAAGGACACCAGCAGGAAGCTGGCTCCCCGGTTCATCGGTCCATACCCCATTGTTGATGTCATCAGTCTGTCCACCGTCCGTTTGGCTCTGCCCCCGTCCATGAGGGTCCACCCTGTTTTTCACGTCTCCCTGATTAAACCTGTCCTCTCTAGTCCCCTGTGTCCTGCTCCTGCTCCTCCTCCGCCGGCCAGGCTCGTCGGAGGTGGTCTGGTGTACCCTGTCCGTCGCCTCCTTGATGTCCGCCCCCGGGGCCGTGGGTTCCAGTACCTGGTGGACTGGGAGGGTTACGGTCCCGAGGATCGCTCCTGGGTTCCCCGCTCGTTCATCACTGACCCGGACCTCATCAGGGACTTCGAGGCCTCTCAGGCTTCCTCCTCCTCCGCCTCCTCCTCCTCTGCTCGGCCGCCGGGTGGCGTCCGTTGAGGGGGGGGTACTGTCATGGTCTGTGGTGAGCTGACTGCAAGTAACCTGGCTTTTCCCTCTGAGCATTGTTTCCACAGGTGGGCGTGTCTGAGAGCTCCAGCTGCAGCTGATCTCCTCATCAGGCCCAGGGGATTTAAGGAGCAGTGCGACACATCACCACGCCGGATGATTACTCTGTTTGGGTAGCTTCAGCCTCAGCCCGATCCTGAAACTCGTTTTTGTATTCTTGTGAACCTGTTGCCAGTAAATACCTTGATGCCCTCTCCTGCTCCCCTCCAGGTTTCTCTCAACTCATCACCAGCTCCAGAACAAGCCCGGATCTCAGTTTTACCTGACGCACTGCTTCATTCCCTGGCCGCCCGCTCTCAGCCGCTCACCAACCAACATCCATTCCTGCTCCTCCACCTCTGGACAACCTATACCTCACCTGTGGATCTCATCAGCTCACCCGGACCCGACAATCCTTCCCGTGCCATTACTACTACCGAGTAACAGTAAGACTAGTCTCCAGATAAGTTCCCATTGTTTTCCGCCTTATATTCACTCTGTCTCCCTCCTTAGAAACTCTCCTGGATTCCTGCTGCCAGTCCTGCATCTCGTCGGTTCCCGTCTCTCACTTTTCCCTTATTTAGTAATAAAGACCTTTACTTACATTCCTGCTCTCCGTGTTTGGATTCAGCATGTCGTGGGTCAAGAAATTGCCACCCAGACGTGACACAAGTGTGATGTGAGCACTTTTACATGTTAAAAGTTTGGCAGCGGAGTTTTGCACCGCCTGCAGACGTTGTGATTTTCTATTTCCTTCTAAATGTATTCATTTATTATTTGACGTGTTGAAATTTTCCAGATGACCTAAATGATGTTGGTAATTAACTACGAATGTTCAATTTCTCACTCTGTGAAGTTTTTATGAGATCTTTTTTTTTTCAGAAAATGTTTTGCATGAATTTTTTTATGCAGTGAAACTTTCAGGACTGTTGGAGTGTGTGAGTTTTTTTCTGGTCGATTTAGAAGAATATTTGGCAACACAAAGAGTCCCTTTATTAACGTTACTAGTGCATTATTAAGCATTAATAAACTAATAATGTATAAAAATATAATCATGAATGCATTACTAAGCAGACACGCCTTTGTGCTAACATTAAGACACTTACAAGTAAACAATACGTCATAAAGGAGAAAAACACGCTTGTTTTCTGATCTGTGAAACAGATTACGGGATAAAACTGCCTGGAGGCGAGACCCTCTACTTTTGCAAAGTGAAACTAAAACTCGGCGCGCAAAATTAACCAAAAGTTCCGATTTGACGCGTTTCTTTGTTCTGTGTGAAGATCTCCCCTCCACACTCAGAACCGTTATCAACCAGTAAACGTGCAGGTTCTGATCCAGACTCGTTTTAGGGAATATGGAATCAAATAGCGGTCAGATCGCGCGTTTAGACGCAACACCTCTAAACATGCGCAAAAAAGTAAAGTCGGTTGTCTTACCTTTCATTTTTCAATGCTTATATCAGCGAACAGATCCCACAAAAGTACCAAAACGAAAGAAAAACTTCCTGAATAGCGCAGCTGCGGCGCGCTTGTGCGTGATGCGCTCTTCCTGTTGGAGACAATAGCCCACCCTTTTTTATTGTATGGCTTTTTTACGTGCTCTGCTAATCGGAGGCATGCCATTGACCAAATGTGCGGGGTTATACCGTTTAGACTCCTTGCTTTAGAACTGTTCAGGAAAAAGGCGTCCTTATAATAAAAACTTTAATTATGAGATGCAGATAGGCTATATAGTTCAGATTATGTCATAATTAGGTAGTTTGTTTAACATGCAGTTGAAAAAAAATCACGATTTCAGCCGTCATACAGTTTTATAAACCAACAATAAATACTGTTTCCTTTTATTTATTTATCACATTGCTTGGTAACTTTTTCTTCGTAGCATGCCATAAATAACTGCGTTGTTGCGGCTGAATCGTCTGATAATGATATTCCCGGCAATGCTGGTTTATACTATACGCCTGTGGGACAAAATCTAACACATTTTAACTCACATTTTATCACAAATATGAGATCAGTGACTTCCCAGCTGAGGCATAAGTCAAGGTTACACCCAATTTTCATATTTGTATACACACTTAGATATACATTTTGAAGCAGCTGAGGCTCAGTCAGAATTTTGCAGTAGACTGAAAAAATGTGGCTCGGCTATAAATTACTATAAAAGTACGACTTTATAAAGTAAAACCATTTATCTGACTGGTAAGCTGATGCGTTCTTAGCCTGTGCTGATTTTTACCAAACACACTAGTGCACGCTATCTGTGCTGCCTAAAACAAATTGCTGGTGTTATCCAGACAAAATTAACATAAATCATCTAAAAAATATTGTGTAAAGTTTTAAGAATAAGGCAGCTGCACTAAAGCTGAATCCTAAACAAGTAACATTGAAGCGCATTAGCTGTTTATTCTTGCATGTTTTTTTTATTTTAAAACTGTAGCTTCAGACTTTGACCGATAAGTGGCGACAAAAGCTTATCCCTTTTTTATCAACTCAAGAGTTCAAACCGTAGAAGAAGAAGTAGCTGTCAGATAAAATGGCTGTGGGACGAAGCTAGCTACCTGGCTAATGTAAATATTCACCTACAGCACGCTGAAAAGACGACTACGAGAACCTTACCCGATAATATCTGAGACGAATGAAAGTGTATGTTTACAAATGATTCATAAAGACAATATGTATCTAGGGAGTGTAATCAATAATCACGTTAATCTAGCTCTATAAGAAGCTTAGTTAGCACGGGCTAATAGTTTATTAACTTAATGTTTCTAAAAGAACTTCCACGTCAAACACAACGCTTTACTATCGTCTTGTTTAGTTAGAAACGGCAGAGAGAATGTCACCGTGGAAGAAAGAAAATTACAAGCTGTAGTTTGAAAGTTGAGTGTAGCATTTGCGAGCTAATGCTAACAGTTTACTGCAGCTAAACTAGTTAATTGTCTCTCGCAATTAGCTCTGTCCCGTGTCGCCGTAAACCCAAACCAACTCAGAAGTCTGTGTTGACATTTGCACATTAATCAAGAAGTATGTTTTTTATAAATAGCTGCGTTATGTATTTTAATCAGCTGTTCTTGTACATTAAAAGGCTTTTCTGTAAGCTAACTTTTCTCCATCAGTCGTCTTTTGCCTTAGTAAGATGAGCCAACGGCGGGGCATCCATGTGGACCAATCAGAGCTGCTCTGTAAGAAAGGATGTGGATTTTATGGCAACGCAGCCTGGCAGGGTCTGTGCTCAAAGTGCAAGCGAGAGGAAAATCAGCTAGAAAAGCAAAAGCAGATACAGGAGGATCGGGCGCTTGCTGAAAGGTTGGTCTGCCTCTTTGTGCCACTTCTGTGTAGAGGAAAACTTATGAAAAAGCAGTTATTTTATCTCTTAATTTCTCCTACCTTAATGTTCCCTCGTTTTGATCCAGCTGTCTACCTGATGGCCGTTTGAGTTGTTTGGTCTTATTTTGTCCAGGCTGCAGAGAAAGGAACAGGAAATCTATGCAAGCAGACATCAGAGGACGCAATCACAGCCTTCAGTGACACCCTTCAGCAAGTCTGATGAAAGAAAGCCAAAAGAGAAATCCAGCAAAGTCACTACAGTCACTAAGTTTTTCACTCAGTCAGCAAAAACACCACCAAAAAAAGGTAAACATTCGGTGGTTCACAACAAGAGAGACTTGTATTGCTTAAACGACTTCATCTTCATCAGGAAATAGGAGTTCGTCATGTAACCAGTGGGTTTCTGGTCCCTCATTCGTTCGTAGAAATTGTCCTATATTCCATCCTACGAGTGAAATTTAGAATGTTGTGTTTGTATGCACGGCACAAGTGGTGATTTATGAAACATGCAGTGACCGCTGTCCATTCCGTTATTCACATACAGAAACTCCCTTCATTAACCAACATTGGTCACGCCACGTCCTAAGCTTATCAAGGAAATCCCTGCGCACCCCCCTCCCAAAAATAAGTACTTCAGTGACAGCAAGATCGAAGTTGCCGAATAAGAAGTTCTCTCAGCGCGTGGGTAAACAGTAAATGAAAAAATGCCTTCTGGGAGAACGTAGCAGAATGTGTAAATCTGTGTAAAACACAAAATACACACATATCTGTGTAAGTACTGTTGGAAAATGAGGGCCCTGGTTACAACCCAGGCTTCGTCCTTGTCGGTCTTTTTGTCCTCGGGCAAGATTTTTCAGCCTCCTTGCCTGCTGGTGGCGGCCGAAGGGACCGGCGTGGCGATTATTTGGCAGCCTTGCTTCTTTGTGTGTGTGTGTGTGTGTGTGTGTGTGTGTGTGTGTGTGTGTGTGTGTGTGTGTGCGTGTGCGTGTGCGTGTGAATAACTGAATTTAGTGTCAGTGTCCTAAAAATGTTACAGTTTCACAATTAAACAAGTCAATCCAGTCGCGAGGGTGACGGTGGCACAGGAGTTAAGGGCTCGCCCCGTAATCGGAAAGGCTGCAGGTTCGAGCCCCGCTCAGTCTGTCGCTGTCGTTGTGTCCTTGGGCAAGACACTTAACCCACCTTGCCTGCTGGTGGTGGTCGGAGGGACCGGTGGTGCCAGAGCTCGGCAGCCTCACCTCTGTCAGTGCGCCCCAGGGCAGCTGTGGCTACATTGTAGCTCATCCCCACCAGTGTGTGAGTGTGTGTGTGAATGGGTGAATGACTAATTGTGTTGTAAAGCACCTTGGGGGGTTCCAGGACTCTAGAAGGCTCTATATCAAACACAGGCCAGTTACCATTTACCAGCAATGAGATATACGAGCTTGTTTTTTAACAGGTTATTACAGGGACTCTATGCTACTTTTTCATATTTAAATCATTTTCTTCAGCCAGTATGTGCTAAAATGACCTTTTATCAGATTAATGAAATGTCTCTCAGACCCCAACCGCCCTCTACGACCAGAATATTGCACTTGCAACGTCAGAGTGCCGGTCTGGTCCCTATTGGACTTTCTAAAAATGGAGCAGACATGCCAGCACGTTTCCTGCACAGCTGATTTGTTTGATTTAGTATAGAATCGCTCCTGTAGACACTAATGAAGGCTGGGGAGGCATTTCAGTCGTTAGATTAAGGTGTTAAAAAGACAACCACACAGCGAGGAGAGGAGTTTCACTTTTGGTTTTACTAACTGGACACTAGGGGGTGCTAAAAGCAAGCCCAAACTGCAGGTGTGCTGTCCTGGTGAGGCCCGGTTCACATTTGCAGGATAATCATGCCGATATTTTAACCCGATCTTCCCTCTCTGACAGTTTTACGAACATGCCCGATTACCGTAATGACTCTTAAGATAATCTTATTAGAAATTCCTCTGTGTGTTGAGTTAAGAGTGCTCTTGTTTCGCTGAAGCGTGTCGTGACCGCTCGGATCATAAATCGGGCATGTCAAGCATGTTGGATTTAGGGACGCACCGATACCGATACTGGTATCGGTAAAAGTTAACCAATACCAGGAACCGATTCCAGTGCAGTTGCTTGAAAATGGCTTCACTGTAACTTGTCATTTCATTTCACCTAATATTTTAGTTTTGTGATGATTTCTATTCATATATTTTACCTTTTATCTACCTCACAGTCTTTTCCTGTTGAAAGCAGAGAAGAAAATAAAATCTGTATTCCAAATCATTGCATTTTTTTGTGTGGTAGAAGTATCGGTATCGGCGAGTATTCAGATCCAAGTATCGGTATCGTATCGGTTTGGAAAAAAGTGGTATCGTTGCATCCCTAGTTGGATTGACATGGTCTGATTTTTCGGGACAAACAAGAGTGCTGCTTTTTAATGTTTGTTTATTTAGCAGACGCTTTTATCCAAAGCGACTTACAATTTATAACCTATAGGGCATGCTGTGATCTGTGGGGGAAACCCACGCGTGCATGGGGAGAACACGCAACTCCACGCTGAAAGGCCGCAGCCGAGTTTCGAACCTGCAACCTTCATGCTGCGAGGCAACAGTGCTAACCGCTGCGCCACCATGCATTAATGTGACATGTAGCCAGTCAAAAAGCGAGGTGACGGTCGAGCGCCGCACACCGCTCCTCCTCCATGTTTATGTACTCTGATGTCACTTTTGATCTCGTAAGATTTTCCCTCTGACTAAGGAGTTTGTGTGTGAATTTGGTTTGTGTGTAGTTTTTACACACACTGCAGGACCAAAGCTAACGTAGTCATGACCTTTGATCACCCCGTCTGACCTTTTCAAACCCTGCTGTGTGAACCGAGCTTTGAACGCCCTGCAGCTTCCCGGATGACAACAGTAAGAATCCAAACTTTATGCGTGTTTCCCCAGAAATATTTGTTTGACATCTATTCAACTTGAACGCGATCAAACTTTATCTCGGTGACTCAGAGTGACTCAGCATAAAAATTGAAATGATTAATTTCACTTTTTCCTGCAAAAAATAATAAACTCATCAGCTGCTTTTGCGTTTAATGTGGAGAAAATTGCGCTCCTCCATGTTTCTGTGGTTTTTATGAAAGTAACGCCCGGCGTCCCTTTCCCCAGATGTTGCTTCGTTCGACACGCAGTCGATGCCGAGTCCCAGCTCCTCGGTGGGTCGACACGCCTCTCTGGACGGTGACCAGGCCACGCGGGACTTCATTGAATTCCTGAAGCCTCTGAAGTCTGGCCGGGAAATCTTCAAACAGTGTCGGGCTTTCACCGAGAGCATGGTGTATAAACGGGTGAGCTCCGACCCGTTCTGCGAGTCCAGACGACCCGTTAACAAGTCACCTTTGAATTCATTCTTCGAGGCGCAAAAAGGCGAACGCTGTCATTGTGAAAATTGTTCAGGATTCTTACCTGTTTGAATTTGCTTGTTTTAAGTGAACTGACTAAAATGTTGACCTCTGTTTCTGGTGCAGGACGCGGGAGCTGAGGAACTGTCCGACTGTGTGCAGGACTTCTACCAGAACCTCTCAGAACGCCTGCAGATCCAGTCTAAAGGCACAGCATCACCCTCACGTTACAGATGTTCAAAACTCAAAATCACAAAAAGGTTGTTTTTTTGCTCTTTATAGGTTCGTCCGATCACGTCGAGATAGTAATGGATGAAGTAGAGAAGTACATGATGAGTCGCCTTTACAAAGAGGTCTTCTGTCCTGAAACCACAGACGATGAGAGTAAAGACTTGGCCATTCAGAAGAGAATCAGGTCTGGAAGCAGAGGTGTGTAAAAGTGACACGCCGGGGGAAACCGGGAGTTCATTTTGGTCGCGTTTGGTTTCAGAGACTTGCACTGGGTCACCCTGGAGATGCTGTGTGTGCCGGTAAACGAAGAGATCCTCGAGGCCTCGGACAGCGTGGTCAAAGCCATAACGGGTGAGCGTCGTTCAGGTTGAGTGTCCAGATGTTCTTCTGCTCCAACGAGGCTTTCAGCTATTTTCTCCTCGCCTTTCCTTGTGACTTTAGATGTCATTGAGATGGATTCAAAGCAAGTCCCTAAGGACAAGCTGTGCTGCATAACTCGCTGTAGCAAACACATCTTCAACGCCATCAGAGTGAGCAAGAAGGAGGCGGCGTCTGCAGACGACTTCCTCCCTACTCTCATTTACATCGTGCTGAAGGCGAATCCTCCACGACTGCAGTCCAACATCCAGTACATCACACGTTTCTGCAAACCCAGCAGACTCCGAACCGGAGAGGATGGTTACTACTTCACTAATCTGGTGAGAAGATGACTTTTATTTCTTCCCTCAGCATCCGTTTCAAATCTGTTGGAACTTTTGTGCACTATTTGTGGTGATTGTGTCCGTTTTACTGACGTCGTGTCTGCTGTCCCCAGTGCTGCGCGGTGGCCTTCATCGAGAAGCTGGACGGTCAGTCTTTGAACCTGAGCTCTGAGGAGTTTGAGCTCTACATGTCGGGCCAGGCGTCCCCCCACTGGCCGCGGTCCGCTGGAGCTGCCGCTTCGTCGTCATCCTCCTCCACCCGCACCGGTGCTCTCGCTCAAGCCCACAGCAGTCTGGACCTGCTAAACGGGCTCAGCGAGAGGCAGGAGCGCGTCATAGAGAAGGCTCACCAGCTGGAGAGTGACCTCATCGACTGGACGGATGAGGTGGAGCAGAAGGTGCAGAGTGCGTTGGAGAGCTTCCCACTGGAAACGCTAAACTCCGCTGCAACCAAAGCTAGCGGGACGGCGTCCGCAGCGTCATCAGCAATCGACTCTGATAATGTTGAGAACGAGCTGCTGCCCCCGCCGCTCCAACCTCAGGTGTTTGCCGGCTAAGAATCCGCCGGAGGCCGAACTCCACCGCCCCGACCTTTCTCGCTGTCGGACCTCTCTGTCCGTTTGCACATCCAGCTGCTGTCGACTCCACACATCTGCTGCCTCAGAGGCTGTGAAACTAGCAGAAACGTTACACGACTGCAGATTTAACGGACTCGTCTGCGCATATTCTCCTTCCTTTCAGATTTAAACAGGAAGATTGAAACCACTTCAGCATCTGTGCGGTAGATAAGAGCCAGATGTTGAGTTTAGCACAATAATCTGGGAGATAACAGCATATCAAAGTTCACTTTCTGGCATTTTGATGAACTCTAAATTTTCTTCTATTCAGTTATCTTGTTTGAATTTGTGCCGCTGAAGCCTAAAAATGAACATTTGCATCCATCGTTACCTAAAATCTGGATTTTACTGGATTTTTCAAGCGTTGACTTTTATCGCAAAGGAGAAAAATGACTCCGGTCTTAAGCTCTTCCTCAGTAGCTGTCCTAGTTGTTGCAGTGTGGAAAAAAAGCTTCTCACGCGTTCGGAGGACTTGTCGTTAGCGTAGGTTTGTGTGTGGAAACAAATGTAACCAAAAGAGGATTTTTAGTTTGAAAAATCAAATATTTTCTTGCTCAGTTCCTCTCCGGCTCATGCTAACTTGTGCAGGATTGAGCCCAAAAGTCCCAGAGAAGTCGAGCAAATGTGTGTGTTTGTGCGTTGAACGCACACGTGCGAGTGCGTGCATGTGCACGTTTCATTCACGGCGGTAATTCAATAACTCCTCTGGTTGTCTGTGTCGATGTAGCCGTCTCGTTTTCGTTCCAGACCTCGCTCCAGCCACAGGCCGGGTGTACAGAGGTGATTTTATTTTTTTATAGATTTTATCGATTCCTCTTGACGACATGAAACCTGTAATATTTACAGCAGCTGAAGAAAATAGAAGATTCACTCAGATTTGGGTTTCTCGAGGCTGCGAGCATGCCTGCCGAGGAGCCGCTGTAGGTGACGCCATTCTGATGCTCTTTTTAACGTAATCAGACAAAAATAAGCCGCGTTTCAGCAAAGATAAAACATCAAAATCACTCTAGAGCCTGTGGTTGTGACGCTAGCGCACATGTCTATTTATTTTAAAGCACCTTTATCAGATTTAGAGTAAAAAAGAAACAACTTCCATCCGGTGGTGTTGGTTCAAAGTCTGTGTTGCAGCAGTTTCACAGGAAAGGAAACACAGTTTGAACTTGAGGCACATGTTTTTGCTCATAAGCTGAAGTTTTTTTGTCTCTTTTATGTTACGAGATTTGACTCCTTGAGTTGATTTTTGCAAACAGGAGGGTTGTTTTAGAGGGGTCTTAATGCAGAGTTCAACCGCCTTTTTGCACGGTATGCAGGACCGTATTTATTTGTTATTTTAAGTCTTCCTGTTCTTGTTTAACGTGGGAGAAACTGAGTACTGCCTTTAATTTAAGACTAACTTATCGGGACCGTTTGATTGGCCGCCGTGGGTGTGGTGATCAATAAAAGTAGCTCTGAAACGCCAGCTGGCTTTGTGTTTTATGTTGATCATAACGTCTAAGCAACTTGTACAAATTTAAAGATGCAAATTTCACAAACTAAAAAGTGACTTTTCTTAGTTTTTGTTTCTTTTTGTCAAAATTTAAAATGCGGTGACGGACGTCCTAGACCAGGGTTCTGCAACCGTTACAACCCAGCCACCAGAATAAACCCGTTTTAGAGCCGTGGCTTTTAGAAAAGACAAGTGTAGAGTGTTAAATGTAGTGCTTTTAAGCTTAATATATTACCTTATGACCGATAATAAGCTGTGATACTATATAAATATAGAACATCAACCTGCTTGGTCTTTGGATGTATAATCAGAAGATTCTAGGATTCTTTGTTTATTCAGGGATTGTAAACACTTAGTGTTGATTCAAGAAGAGAGTCAGCTTTATAAAAAGTAAGAATTTATTTTCAAAACAATTAAAAACATGACAAGTTAACTAATATTTACTGTGATGGAAGGATCTAGGTGGGTGGAATGTGATGTATGGTGCCTATGTGTCAATGTGAGGTTATCAGAACTTTCGTATCTAGAAGAACCGAGTTCTGGGTGTAAAAGGAAAGAATTTCGTTTGCGTTAAGCCAGGAAGTTGATTCTTAGCAAAGCCACATCAGACGCGATCATGCTGTGTGTACCTCACCCTTTGGAAGACCCTCTTCGTGGATCCGAAGGTCAGGGAGGTCGGATGACCTCTGGGCACCGAGGTTTGTGGAATAACCACAGCACCGACTCTTCAGTCCAGAGATGTTTTCCGGGTCACGACAGATGGATGGAGCCGTTTGCGTCTAGAAGGACTCTTAGGGAGTCGGAACAATATCAGCTTGGTTCTGCACAAATTGCTTGCTGCGTCAGCGGTGGGCAGCTTTTAGCAGGGTTTTGGCAGCTTGCCAAAATTGCTCTGGGTTGAAGAGGTTTCGCTCCGGACGGCCGCTCCGTAGATTTTCTCTAGATCTCGAACTGTGAATCTCACAGGATGTTGGAAGCTGGAAGTTGAAGTGCTGAGTCACTGTAAGTGATTCTGTTTTAATATTCTCATATTATGATTTACTTGTCCAATCGGAACGTGCCATGTTAAGGGATACTTGTCATGACTCCCAGGCTTACACCCTCCTCTGCCTCTGCTGCCTCCTCAATCAAGCCCTCAGCCACTTAATTACCATCACCTGCACCCTGTCATCAGCTCATCTCACTCACCTGCTCCCCCTGCTATATAGTCACCAGCCAGCCACCAGTTCCCTGCCAGATTATTGAACATTTTTTGTCAGTAGATCTTCCAGCCTTGCACCTTGCCTGATCACAGCCTCTGGGCCTCGTTTTCACGCCTGACCCCCTGCCTAGGACTCTGCCTGCCATCTCGACCCTCGCCTGTCTTTGACCCCTTCTCTAGCCTGCTCCATTTACCTGCTTCGCCTCGTTCTGGTTTTTGACCCACGCCTCCTCTCCTCCTCTGTCTCCAGCCTCGCCCTCCTCTGGTAACGCCTCATCCAATAAAGACATTTAAGGAACTTTACTGTTGTCATCACGGTTCTTCCAAGTTCTGATCGTGACAATATTACCAAGAATCTCAGAACATCACGCCTTCCTCCAGATACCGGATGCTCTGATTTGGGGTAAGGAAGTATCCATGTGTCATGAGTTTAACTTCTCTTTAATTTGTCCTTGTGTCTGAGTGTAGGTAGTGATTGCCTTGTCATATCAAACATTGCTGATTACCAAATAAATCATTCAATGTAATAATTCATTTCATCTCAGTAAATCAAGCACAGATCAATCAACCTTATTGATTTAAGCACAGATGAATGAAGACATTATTTCACGGATTAACTCGTATGAGCTGAGAACAGTCACTCTTACTAGAACAGTCCGGTCCGGCCTAGATAACCAGGCAGGCTTGGCACAGAAGGACTTTAAGAAGGGAACAGTTTGTTGACACTACAGAGAGTGCAGAATTATTAGGCAAATGAGTATTTTGTCCACATCATCCTCTTCATGCATGTTGTCTTACTCCAAGCTGTATAGGCTCAAAAGCCTACTACCAGTTAAGCATATTAGGTGATGTGCATCTCTGTAATGAGAAGGGGTGTGGTCTAATGACATCAACACCCTATAACAGGTGTGCATAATTATTAGGCAACTTCATTTCCTTTGGCAAAATGGGTCAAAAGAAGGACTTGACAGGCTCAGAAAAGTCAAAAATAGTGAGATACCTTGCAGAGGGATGCAGCAGTCTTAAAATTGCAAAGCTTCTGAAGCGTGATCATCGAACAATCAAGCGTTTCATTCAAAATAGTCAACAGGGTCGCAAGAAGCGTGTGGACAAACCAAGGCGCACAATAACTGCCCAAGAAGTGAGAAAAGTCAAGCGTGCAGCTGCCAAGATGCCACTTGCCACCAGTTTGGCCATATTTCAGAGCTGCAACATCACTGGAGTGCCCAAAAGCACAAGGTGTGCAATACTCAGAGGCATGGCCAAGGTAAGAAAGGCTGAAAGACGACCACCACTGAACAAGACACACAAGCTGAAACGTCAAGACTGGGCCAAGAAATATCAAGACTGACTTTTCTAAGGTTTTATGGACTGATGAAATGAGAGTGAGTCTTGATGGGCCAGATGGATGGGCCCGTGGCTGGATTGGTAAAGGGCAGAGAGCTCCAGTCCCACTCAGACGCCAGCAAGGTGGAGGTGGAGTACTGGTTTGGGCTGGTATCATCAAAGATGAGCTTGGGGGGCCTTTTCGGGTTGAGGATGGAGTCAAGCTCAACTCCCAGTCCTACTGCCAGTTTCTGGAAGACACCTACTTCAAGCAGTGGTACAGGAAGAAGTCTGCATCCTTCAAGAAAAACATGGTTTTCATGCAGGACAATGCTCCATCACACGCGTCCAAGTACTCCACAGCGTGGCTGACAAGAAAGGGTATAAAAGAATAAAAACTAATGACATGGCCTCCTTGTTTACCTGATCTGAACCCCATTGAGAACCTGTGGTCCATCATCAAATGTGAGATTTACAAGGAGGGAAGACAGTACACCTCTCTGAACAGCGTCTGGGAGGCTGTGGTTGCTGCTGCACGCAATGTTGATGGTGAACAGATCAAAACACTGACAGAATCCATGGATGGCAGGCTTTTGAGTATCCTTGCAAAGAAAGGTGGCTATACTGGTCGCTGATTTGTTTTTGCATTGTTTTTGAAAGTCAGAAATGTATATTTGTGAATGTGGAGATGTTATATTGGTTTCACTGGTAAAAATAAATAATTGAAATGGGTATATATTTGTTTTTTGTTAAGTTGCCTAATAATTATGCACAGTAATAGTCACCTGCACACACAGATATCCCCCTAAAATAGCTAAAACTATGAACAAACTAAACTACTTCCATTCAGCTTTGATATTAATGAGTTGTTTGGGTTCATTGAGACCATGGTTGTTGTTCAATAATACAATTATTCCTCAAATACAACTTGCCTAATAATTCTGCACCCCCTGTATGTTATCATGTGTTCTGAGCTGCAGAGAGGCCCGGACTCCAGCAGATTAAAGGCAACACATGTAGACTCCTGTCTCCATATGACCAAATACTGAAGGGGTCAAACTGTGCATGAAAACTGACCATTTGTGAACATTACACAAGGTATCCTTTTTGAGAAATGTATCTAAGGAAGAAATTGGGGCCACTGAAAAATAAGTTCTTTCATTTTCAGAAGTCTGAGAATAACATAAAAATTCTGGAAAAAAAAAAAATCAGGATTGTGACTTTTTCAGTAGAGCTGATGCCCAAGTGAACGATACCACCTAAGAACCATAATGTGGGCATTTTATTCTAAAATAATATGCATCACGTTTGTACCAAATCGTTACACAAACGTGATGCATATGAAAGGTGAGGAACCCTGAAAAACATTTTTTTTTTATGATTCTGATTATAATCAGTCACTCTGAGTTTTTCATGCAGGCTGAACATGAAAATAGTCTCCTACATCTAGCTCCTGCATTAGCTTCTGATGGAAAACAAACGATGAGACTCTAGGATTAGAAAAACTCACAGATCTACAAATTCATGGACTCACCCATCTTCATTTGGCACATGGGAGGCTGTTGGTTTAGCCACAGACATATGCTGTAGTAGATGCCCCATGGACTGGAGCTGCCGCAGTGGCTGGCCGCCATCTTGGATGGGTCTCCTATGGCTCACAGTACAGTGCTTACCCAAACTAAAAGACCACATTAATTATATTCATCACAAAATCAGAAATAAAGCATGGCATGATAATTAAAAAATAAATATAATTAAATAAATATATGAAATTCCAACAAGAAGGCTGGAAAAGTCAATATTAATCCCACGTGATCTATTTGTTGCAACTGTGGGCTGCACAAAACATGGATGTAGTTGCCCAACCTGTGTTCCAGTTGGGTTTGGAGAGTGAGGGTCCCATCCAATATGGCGGCAATGCTGTTACGCTCTCCAGCACCCAATGGGGCTTCTATGCATTCGTGTTTAAGGGTTTAGTGTCCAGAAAACCATTAGCATTAGCAACTTCACCACCTGGCAGAACTCTTCAGGCTTGTGTTATTTGTGGAAATTGAACATCCATGTTGCAAAGCAAACGGTGGAGTCGCATTGACGTTATCCAATCAGAGGAGAGATGTCTAAATACCAGGAAATAAGCTGTATATAGTATGGTTATTATTATTTTTTAACCCATTCTTAAGGTATAAATTGTCTATTGTATTGAGTTTATTTTATCTCATTATGATTGAACTTATTGTATTTTAGTGTTTTCTCCCTCTGCTGCATAACTTTTACCTTACTTTTACTTGGCTGTAAACGAAACAAATTTCCCACATGTGGGACTAATAAAGGTTATCTTATCTTAAATAAGATTCCAAATCCTGTCGTCTACTCTCTCTCCAGCTGACTCCTCCATGCTGCCATGGACACTTTCCTTTAAAGAGATCTAAAAATACATTAATGAACCTTCATTCACAATAGCTGTGTCCTATGCGCCAATAAACAAGTGATATAAATGAGTTCGGTTTCAAAGACTTTTTATAATGAGTAGTAATCATAGTTTTAGTATCAAACACAATACTTAGTTGTATTTATTAGTATTATAAAGGTCTGTTTAGTGAATTAGATTTTACTAAGTATTTCCCGTCATTGTCTCTGAGAACAGTTCATGAACTTCTATTACCAAAGGTCTGTGTCTTTTTGCACTTTCAATGGGCGTTGGTTCATTTTAGGTGAGGGTCAGAGCTCTGAGGAAGCATTTGGTGATTTCAGTTCCTCTTTACTTCTGTAAAGTTCCGGGAGACAACGATCCGGGAAAGGAAGTTTCAGTTACACAGAAATAAAACAGGATTTCTAAAATATCATAAAATGATGTACAAATCTGGTACATGAGAGCTTTTATGATTTGTACAATTTCTTCATTTTATTTGATTTTATCTTGGACGATTTGTCGATTTGATCCATTTTTTAAACTGTTTTGTTTATCCCACTGTTGTCAAAGGTTGATAGCACTTTGGTCAGTTTTGCGGTTTCAAAGTGCTTTATCCACTGATTTCCCTCTTTCCTATTCACTCTCTCTCTTTCTTAACATTTTTTCTTTTAAATCGCAATTGCTTATTTTTGCTCATTTTAAATATATTTTTAAACATTTTCTAAATGCTTTTTTTATATTTTTACATTTTTTATTTTTTGTTTTTGTGAAGCGCCTCGTGATTTTTATCTTGAGAGGCGCTATAGAAATGATATTTTCTTCTTCTTCTTCTTCTAAATAAAGTTGGCTTGGCTGTTTACAACCTAGAGAAAACAGTACAATACCTCATACCGAGTCTACCAAAAGAGAGCTAACGCCAACGACTCCCAAATCGGCAACCAGCTGGTCCACACAACATCTCCTCTACTGGGAAGATGGGCTCAGGGACAACCTGAGGTGCCTGTAATCAGCTAAACAATGACATGTCGTGCATCCTTCATCCCATGAAGTATGCATTTAACTTAAAAATGTATCGTATATTATTATATTTAGGTATTTAGACAGAAACTGTTTCTATGTCATCCAAGATGTAAGTTCAGTTTGCGATCTAAATCATACGGTTATGGGAAGACAGCAGTTTTTGGAAAGCGAGCACATTGTGTGTGTCTCAATAGAACCTGGTGTATAAAAAAACACATTTTCACTTCCTTTTTTTTTTTTTATTTAAATTAAAAAAGGACTTTTTGGCGTGCTGCAATAGAACCTGGAAGAAAACCAAAAAAAAAAAAACGAATCACATTTTCACTTCTCATTTCATCTGGAGTGGAGAAAACACACCTCTTTCTGTTTCTAACAGCGTGCACCATGGATGCAATCACTTCCCTGCTCAGTAAGTTGTATTTATTTTATTTTGACTGTGTTTTAATCTAATTTCTTATAACTGATTATTACCTACAACAACCATCATTCATCCTTAAAAATTATGTTCCCTTTCAGTTCTCTCATCCTTGACGCATCTCACCGTACCAGCGAGTATGTGCCAAAGACATAAAAAAACATCATCATTCAAATCATTAGCTGCATTGTTTGCGCCTACGTTTAAATTCCTTATCTAATGTTGTTTATTTCTATGATTATTCTTTCTGGTGACCCCTTCTTCTCCAGCCCCCACTGTCACCTCCTACAGAGCCTCTATCGAGGTTGTTTCAAAGAGCTTGAGGATCTTCTCTGGAGAAAATGTGCAACTGAAATGCGTCATACCTGACATTTATTTTTCCACCTGGAAGTATCTGTGGTTCAAGGATTCCATGCAGCTTCCTCAAACAGAGGAGACACTCCGGATCTCGCATGCCCATGTCAAGAGCAGTGGAAAGTTCTCCTGCCAGGGAAAGAGGGAGACGGCGATAGGAGACATCCAAACTAGACCAAGTCTGCCTGTGGAGGTCAGTGTGGATGGTAAGATCTTATTTTTAAACATTTTACTGGTGCCATGCACATTTATTTCACTATTTTATTCCTACTTGAAATGGGAACAAAGGTGGTCTTTTTTGTGTTAACTGGCGCTACTTATTTATTGTCTTTTTAAGGAGGGTGGGTCATCCTGCAAACTCCACCTCACCCTGTAGTTGTTGGAGAAACCCTAAACATGGTGTGCCGCCTCCGGAAAAAATTTCCAATTCACGAAACAATCCTGTACAAAAATGGCGTTGAAGTGATGAGACAAAATGGGTCCAGTTTGGATTTACAAGTGGAAAACGTGGACCTTGAGGATGAGGGCATGTACTCCTGCAGGGCATCTTGGGATATGGAGATGCGCACATACTCTGTGATCTCAGCTGCCACTCCTGTGAAGGTTGTAGGTGAGTTTAGATACCTACCGTTCATGAAATGCATACCACCGACAACCTTTCACGTTGTGTTGTGATGCAATGATATTATTGTTTTTGGTCAAATCTTTAAATGAATGTATTGCAAATTCTGTGAATACTTAAAGGTTGAATGTGAAACACGAGCACTAAAGCGACATCTAGTGTGTGACGGTTGTAGTGGCAACAACAGAACAAGTTTTCCAGCCGTCGCGATGCGAGGTTCGCTGCTGATACGTGAAATTTTTTTTATTTGGGTCCATCTGTTGTAGGCATCACCTAGACTCACTGTGGTTTCATATCTTTTATGGTCGCTGCTCTTCTATCAGGGAATGTGTGGGCGTGGCCAGCTCCAGCATATTTTTCTTAAAGTCTCTTTCCGGAGTATTTCTTTTATCCGATGGCACCATCTAGTGGCTGACAAGCATATCACACAAAAAGTCTGTCAATCCGATTTTTTTAAGATGGCGACTTCACGTTTCTTCTTTATGAATGTGCTTCTGTAGCCGACAAACGGAGCTAAAACACGCTTTTTTACTAGTATTATTCTCATGTCATGTCGTGTTCTCATATATTTAAATTTTAAAGACGTTCTTGTTTGTGAAAAGTTCATCAACTCTGCATCAACCGAGGTATTCCTTAAATTTGAAGCATGCCAGCGGTAGTCTAACACTATCGGTTAGTTCTGGTCGGCGCTCAGTTTCTGTTGCACAGAGCTCTGCGGGGCAGGGGGCGTGCTTAGCAAAAAAAAAAAAGACGTGTTGCTTAAATTATCTCACAGTGCATGATAAGATAATCACTTTTACAGATTTCTGAAAAATCATACATCCTTTCTGTAAGGGGAAAACTCCGGAAAGCTACTTTAAAGTGACAGAGCTCTGAAACGGCTCATTCTGGAAGGCCCTGAAAATGTCAGGAGGAAAAATGCTGAAATCCCCTTGAGAGGGATTTTGTGCACAGAACCTCATAAACGTGTTTTTTATGAACCATAATAGGTCTCGTTTAACAGCTGCCGACTTTTACACCTCAGCTAGAACGCATTTTTATTTTCCTGTCGTGTTTCCTTATTCCTTTACAATCTACTGCTGCTCTTAAAACTCCAGTCATTTTTGATCTTCTCCTCATTATTCCCAGAGTTTCTGTCTCAGCCGGTGTTGGAGATTGATGCAGAGAACAACCAGATTGGAGTAAATAAAATAAAGCTTATCTGCCATGTGCAGTACAACGCCCGAGCCCCTGCCCCTCCGATAAACTTCTACTTCTACAAGAATGACCATCTCCTGGGAACGGCAACCTCAGAGAACCACAAAGTGGTCAGACGCGACTCGGGGTGGTACAGCTGCCGAGCCAAGGTACCACAGCTGGGTCTCTTCAGGTGGAGTGAGGCCAGAAGTTTTGGAGAGGTTACAGGTGAATAAACCCAACAGAGTGTCCTAAAAGAAAAGTAAAAAATCTAAAATAAATGCTGATTTGTTTGTGGCCCAACAGGAACCCTGAAGCCTCGATCTTCATAACAAACTAGATGCCATAAGCTCGACTAAATTCACCAAATCTGCAGTGCATCCAAAAAACCACAACCAGCTTTTACTTCCTTTCATTCGGGTCCAGAAGAGTCCACACAATCCTCGATCTGAATTACAAATCTCAAAAGTCAAGATTTTCTACACAACGTCATGTTTTCAATCAAATAAAATACTGCAAGGCTGCGCAGTTCGCTTCCCGGTCTGGGATCTTTCTGCATGGAGTTTGTGGGTTCTCTCCGGAGTGTCTGTGTGTGTGTGTGTGTGTGTGTGTGTGTGTGTGTGTGTGTGTGTGTGTGTGTGTGTGTGTGTGTGTGTGTGTGTGTGTGTGTGTGTGTGTGTGTGTGTGTGTGTGTGTGTGTGTGTGTGTGTGTGTGTGTGTGTGTGTGTGTGTGTGTGTGTGTGTGTGTGTGTGTGTGTGTGTGTGTGTGTGTGTGTGTGTGTGTGTGTGTGTGTGTGTGTGTGTGTGTGTGTGTGTGTGTGTGTGTTGCCCTGCGATGGACTGGCTCTCTGTCCAGGGTGTACCCCGCCTGATTGCCCATTGACCGCTGGAGATGGGCACCAGCCCCCCCCGACCCTACATGGACAGGCGAGTTCAGACGATGGATGGATAAAATACTGCTTAATATTACTGCTGGACTTTATTCTCATTTAACCCCATTTTGTTACAACTCTACTGTACAGAAGAAAATGGTTTAAAAATGGACATCACGTCATGAAATGTCCCTAAAATGTGTGGAAAGGAGCTAAACAAATGTACAAAACATTTAATAATCGAGCACAGAGATAGTCCTTGTTGACTAGAAGCATCAATTCTTTACATAATTTCTGGTTATGGACACAGAAGCTAAGAGATTGTAGAAGAAGGAAGACGTTTGAGGAGGAAAAGGAACATTGTGGGTCCCGCTGACAGTGGCTCATCGTGGGATTTAACTCTTGAAACAACTGAAAGCATTAATAAATAATTCAGTCAAAAGTTTAACCCTCCCACTGTCTTCATGGGTGACCCCGCCAGGAACGTTGACCAGTGAGTAGGGTTGATGGTTTAGCCCATGGGTCCACGTGGCAGGGGTGAGGAGTGAGCACCACCTCACCATTTTCACATAAACCATCAACCCTGCTCAATGGTCATCTTTCCTGGCGGTGTCACCCATGAAGACAGTGGGAGGGTTAAAGGAACAAAGCCGGTTGTGTTGGGTGACCAAACTCCTGCACACTGCCTTAATATCTGGTTATGAGTGACAGATGTGTGTGTATGTTTACTGCATAGGTTCAGATGTTCGTACGGATGTGGGGTAATGAACCAGATCTTTGATAGTAAAGTTAATTTACTGACTTTTCTTATTCGGTGCACTCTTCACTGTAGTTAGCTATGGTGAAAATGAAAGGATTTCTCCTCTTTTTAAGTTTGTTTTGATCCCATTTAGGTTGGTTGTTGTCATTTTTAGTCATTTAATGTCTTTTAATGCTCATAAACTTTCGTTTTGGATCCTTGATGAATTAATTTGAGGCTTTTAGTTAAGTGTCATGTGTTTCTACTGCATCTGTAGTTTTGAATTTTGACTTTTCACCTGGAGCATTTTGACTTATTCTAAATCAACCAGTCTTTAGTTTCAGTTATCTCTATGTCGTACATCTCTGCTCAGCCTTCGCTGGATTTTGGAGTTTCAACACTTTATATTGTACTATTAAAATCTTTTATGTCACTGCATATGGGTAGAATGGCAGTTCCATTGACTCTTATGTTACTGTATTGTCTCCATCAACACAAAGATGGATGATGGGTCTCCATGTCATGGTCTGCGTCTGCCCCTTCCTTCATGTGCCTCCTGGTGTTTCTCCATCCTCTCTAGATTCCCTTTTGTGTCTCATAGCGCCCTCATGTGTCCTTTGTCTGCGTCTCAATTATGTGTCTTATGTTTGTAGCCCTTTTAAAGTCCATTCCTCCCAGGTCCTGTGTCATTCATTCATTCATTCATCCCCAGCCCTCCAGGTCTTCCTTCTCGTTCTGTAGCTCCAGCCTCTTTGTCCCCAGCTCGGTGTTTGCGTGAGTCCTCCCTCAGTCTTAGGTTTAGTTTTTGGTTTAGGTTTGTCTGCCCTCCATTGGTTCTGTTTCCCCCATTTAGATCATTTGTGTCACCTGCCTTCCCTCCAGCCCTCACTCCACACACCTGCTTCCTGTTTCCTTACTTGTTCTCCCTGTGTATTTAAGCCCTGTCTTGTCTCTGTTTGGTGTCGGTCCATTGTGGTAATTCTGTCAGTCTCTCGTTCCTAGTCTCTAGTGTTTCTCGTGTCTCAGTTGGATCTGTAGTTTATTTTGGATTTTGGACATTTTTGGACTTTGGCTCCCTGCCCTGGATTTATTCTTCGTTTCATCCTTCAAAAATAAAGGATTTTACTTTACATCATCTCCTGCCTCGTGTCATCCTGGGTACTGCATTTTGGGTCCTACAAACCTCGTAACGTGACACTCCATCTTTTTCTGCAGTGTGAAAGTCAAACTGTCAGATTTTGTTTTAAGGCGCTACTATATTTCCTTTTGTGATCAATGTCTCACCAGTTCATCTAAACCCAATCATTCAATTCAATTTTATTTATAAAGCGCCAAATCACGACAAGAGTCATCTCAAGGCACTTCACATAATAAACATTCCAGTTCAGGTCAGTTCATTAAGCCAGTCAGAAAAGATGTTTCCTATATAAGGAACCCAGCAAATTGCATCAAGTCATGGCAAATTTGGCATCAAATTAATTACAACCAAACATATTAGTAACAATGATATGAACTGTGTGAATGAACAGAAGTCAACCCCTTAAAAAAAGCACGTCTGAGTTTCATTTTTTTCAATTTGGACACCGTCCAAGGGGCGGGACTTATAACCTATCCTGAAACCAGCCACTAGAGGGGGCCTGTTTGTTTCTTTCAACTTCTGATGGTTCTTATTTCCAATAATAATAATAATGAATGTTGATGGCTGGTTTTTGGTCATGAGGGGTTTTTAACTCCTTTCATGATGGGTTGCTGGATAAAACAATGAATTCAGTGAAAATCAGAAGTTGCACCATATAGTTTCAGCATCATCCGCGTTTGGTGTTTTTCCAGTATGGTGAATTTGAAACCGTTCTACAGGAACTGTCAGTATGGCAAACCAGTGTCAGGGTTTGTCAGAGTAGAGCAGAAATCCAGTAAAGATGCTGTCATCCTCACTGCTGGCGTACACCCCATTCCAGTCTCTGAAAGTCTCCATCCAAACCTGATCTCCTGCCGCCAAACGTAACACCACCAAACAGGACGCCTGGTCGATGTCTTGACCGTACAGAGAGTCCCGTGTCCTCACTTTCCTGGAGCCGTTCACCACCAGTGTGGCTCTCAGTGGCTGGCTACGCACCGTGATGTGGAAGGAGAAGACGTAAACCCCTGGGTGGAAGCATGTGAAGCTGTTGGAAGTAAAGTTGAAGTGGTTCTCTTCATTGTAGAAAATTTTGTCAAAGCGGATAGGGAAGCCAGAAGGGGGGAAGGATTTTCTTGGAGAGATTCCCACACTGAAGGCAGACCGTTTTTGGGCAGTCCCTGATCCCTTGGCTCCCTTCAAGCCACGAAATCCTCGCTCACCTCTCATCCCAGGGAAACCTCTGTCCCCTTTTGGCCCAGGCATCCCCCTAATGCCCTGTGGTCCTTGGGGACCTGACACTCCTGGTTCGCCTTGGAGTCCAGGGTGTCCCGGATCCCCTCGAATGCCAACAGGACCTGGGGTGCCATGCTTACCGTGCAGTCCCGGTATTCCCATTGCGCCTTGAATCCCTTGAGTTCCAGGTTCCCCACGCTCACCTTTTGGTCCTCTCTCCCCATATACACCACAGTCCCCTTTATCTCCTTTCTCCCCCTTAGGACCCAATTCGACCGCTGTTCCTGGAGGTCCAGAGGGCCCCTGTGGTCCAGGCTCACCTTTCTCACCGGCAGTCCCGTTCTGGCCGGATTCTCCTTTTCCCCCTCTCTCACCTTTGACACCGTGCAGCCCTGTTTCACCTTTGTCCCCTTTGGAGCCAGCGTCACCTGCGAGGTTAGGACACTGGTTAAAACTAAACAAAACTGGTTTGAAAACGTAAACAAGCAAGAATCAAGCAGTTTCGCTACCTTTTTGTCCTGGTTTCCCTGGAAGTCCTGGTGAGCCAGCTAGCCCGCTGTTTCCTTTGTCGCCTTTATCACCTGGAAAATGAATTCAAATAAGCCGTGTGAAACAGTATTTTCTGGGTGTGGTACCAAGAATTAAACATTATCGGGATCATTCGAAGTCTAATGAGGAAAAAGTTTAAAGTGTCTCAAAAAATCACGACGTCACGTAGGCAGAGTCGTTTCTTTAAAAATAAACAACTTAGGGCTAAAATGAAGAGTAGGAGTAGAGGATAATAGATGGTGCAAGACCTATTATTTAATTCAGTTAATGTAGCAAAAATTGACAACAATAGTCATCTCAAGGCACTTTACAAAGACCCTACTCATCAGAGTTCAGGTCATTAGTCAGTGGTTTCCTGTGTAAGGAAACCCAGCAGATGGCATCGAGTCACTGACTCACTTGTGTCAGTGACTTTACAGCAATCCCCACAATAAGCAAGCATGTAGCGACAGTGGAGATTAAAACTCCCCTTTAACGGGAAGAAACCTGCAAATTTACATGGGTAATTTTAATATTTATGCTAGTTTTATGTGTTTTGGTAAATGGTCTGTATTTGATATAGCCCCTTGTAGAGTCCTAGAACCCCCTAAAGTGCTTTAAAACACAATCAGTCATCCACCCATGCACACACACACAGTACCACCCTGGTGGTGATGAGCTACAGTGTAGCCACAGCTGCCCTGGGGCGCACTGACAGAGACGAGGCTGCCGAGCACAGGCGCCCCCGTTCCCTTCGACCGCCACCAGCAGGCAAGGTGGGTTAAGTGTCTTGCCCAAGGACACAGCTGCACCATTCTCTGCTGGGATCTATCCTACCACCCTCTGACAACCCACTCTACCATCTGAGACACCGCTGCCCTCAAATTTTCTTTGCCATGAAACATTTTAAATATATGATTAAATTTACCTTTTTCACCCTTAAAGCCCATCGGACCACTAAAGCCAGGTGGTCCAGGAACGCCAGCTGGCCCCGCAGGGCCTATTCCTCCATGTGACCCTTCATAGGTAAAAAAAAAAAAAAATAAGCATCACTCAAAATCATTAGGTTGTACAAAAATGTCAAATACTCTGACAAATGATCCATGATGTGATACCTGCCAGCCCTTTTTCTCCCTTTGGGCCCCTAGGGCCTCTTTCCGGTGGACAGCACTCACAGAAGTTGAAGTAGCACTCGTTGTAGTCCAATGTGTAATTATCAGGACCGACACCAGGGGACTCGGTGTTTTCATTGTAGTAGGGTGGGTAGACATGTCCTGGATAAGCGGTCTTCACTGTGGTCGGCTGAGGCTGGGGTTGTGGCTGCGGCTGTTGTTGCACAGGGCTTGGGGTTGCTAGTATCTTCAGAGTCTTGGGCACGCTGGTGGTGACGGGGTTGTGCAGCGTGACCTGAGGTATGGGCTTCTTTGTGTACAGGTACTTTGGTTTTGGTGTCGTCTTAGCGTCAGCGAAGAACACCACAGTGAGAGCCGCCACAACTACAGCCACAGGAGTCACGATAATCCTCATGGTTGACCGGGATCTGGTAATAAACATCACTCGATCTGTCAGAAGGTTCACAATTCATCCACTTCAGCTTCAAACACAAGTTTTTTAACGGTGTGTGAGTCTGCAAACCGTGCAGAATAACTGATGGGCCATGTCTTAGCTCACGTCAGTTACCCTTGTGTCAAACCTTTTTGCAAATTACTGAGTTTTCCCAACGTCCCCCCCCCCCCCCCCCCCCCCCCCCAAAATGATGCTTTCAGTCTGGTCAGATTCTGAGGTCAAATTTCCCCATCTACGCACCAACAAAACCCATATTTTATTTCGGTTTCCAAACAAATATCCAGCAAAGTTCACAAGACTCACCCAGTGATGCATAAGTGGTACAGTCATTAATCCTCTGTAGCGGTGCGGGGAAAGCAGCATCAGGAGCCCCGGGTCTCTCTGATATCTCTGCCAGGCTTGGGTGAAAGAACATCCCACCAATAAGAGTATATGTTAGAAGCAAAGGGGGAGGTCTAAAATCCGTCTAAGGCAGGCTGACCCAAGGAGAACCACTCTGCTGTGGCCCATTCTCTGTACCCCTGTTGTGTAGAAAGGTGCTTTTGTGACACAGAATACAGCGTCTGCCATGAGCACTCCCTCACTGCCAGTTAGGCAAGGAGCAAAGGCCGCGGGGCAATGGGTCACCTGATATGGGAGGCATTCCATCTAACCAGGCTCTTAATGTGGGACAAAGCCAAGCTAAGAGAAGTCTGAGACAGAGGCTGGCAGCTTTTTTTTTTTTTTTTTTTTACCAGAGGTTTGGACACACTTTGATGGTAGCTGCAAGTGGAAAGAAGCAAAACCGTGTGCAGTCTCGTGCGGAACGTTGCAACTTCACGTTGATCATAAAACCTGCTGTTAATGAGAAATGCTTATTAACAAATTTAGAAGCTGGCACAAAGCACAGGGAGCTCAGTAGTTTCCATTTGCCGGTGTTGGTGAACATCCAAAGGAAAGATTTAGCTGTAAGAGCTCCGATAATCACTCAGGAGCTGCTAAACCTGAGCTGTTTGTCGAATGAACGAGCTTATCCCTTTTAAATCAGCGTGGTTGCAAAGCTTGTCCGATCACTGCGGCAGACTTTTTTGCACACGAACGCTCAAGGCCGCTGGCAGCGACATTTGTTAACTATGATTGTGTGGCCGGACAAGGACTCGTTCTTAAGGTGTAATTGGATAGCATCGGGCTTTTGCAGAAAAGTGATTTTCTGGTACCTGTCTTGCTGAAACTCTTGACTTACCAGTGACAAAGAATGTTTGAAAAGTGGACATGGCTCAGTGGCCAAAGACCTCGTGTCCTCGGAGAGTTCCGTGTCCGGATAAAAGTGAGCGGGGAGACGGGAAATGAAATTTGGGGAATAAGAGAGGGTTGATGGTGAAACGAAGGGATGAAGAGAACAATACTAAAAGCTAAAGCGTGTGTGTGAATCATTTGCATCCATTCTTAATATTTATTCTTCACTACCTACACAGAAATAGACAAAAGTTTTTCCTTTTTTCCCTTTAAAGCATTCACAGAAGACCAACTGATGAAGTGTGCAACCCGTAAAAATATCCTGAGAAAATCAAAGGTTCCTCTGGGTTCCACCATGCCTGACCTCAACAACGTCTTCTCTCAGCTCTATTCAGACCACACACACAACAGCGGCGGTCAGTTTACAGCACCCAGCTAGTCACAGAGGACCCGGGTACGGCTCACCCGTTCATTGATTTAACACTGACACCAGCCCTGCCCTCAGCCTACATCCACACACACACTGCAGCACTCGAGACCGGAAAGGGTTAACTTACACAGCCGGTGCAGCCGAGCCGAGAGAGGACCAAAGATGACTCGGATGGATGGAGGAGTATTAGCTTACTGAACCCCATCCATGTAACATAGATCTTGGAGCTGCTGTGAATGTGTGTGGAGCAAATTAGAGAGGGTGAAAGGTAGGCAGCAATGAAGACTTGAAATAAACACAAACATGTAAGCACCTTTCTATTCCCTGACAAGTTAACTTGCACAGGTATGGGGTTTTTTGTTGTTGTTGTTGTTCTTTGCTGAAATTTTATCAAGAGGGATCTGGAGAGCAGCGGCTGTGAGACCTTGGCAAATGAGTGTGGTTGCAGTGAGTTCACTTATCATGAAGTCAAAGCACAAACGCCTTTTTTCCTTGTCACACTATCAAATTCTTGCTTCCCTACAGCCGAGCTTTCTAATGCACTCTAGGTAGGACGAGCAAACTGTGCAAATGGGGGATTTTTAGCATTCTCCAAAACGTGTTTATGTGCACAAACTGCTCATATTATTTTCAGATGTTCCAGATGTTTACTCAGCTGAAAGAAGGCATTTTGCATTCTCAATGCATAAAAGTTAGAATGATTTTTCACTTTGTGAGTTAAATTATCCGTGCAATTATTAACACTGATTTTTTAAAAATACCCAATTAATGAGCCTGAGGATCTTTGTTTGATTTTATAATTGTATGAAGAATTATGTTTTTCAACAACCATAAAATTAAAGGTGTAGTGTGTAGGAAAAAAGTAAGATGACATCTTGTGGTCAAATTTTGTTACCGTACCTTTAAATATTAAATCTCCATCTGATTGTGTAAGTTGGGGAAGCCGACTCCCCCTTGTGGTGAACAGAGGATGTTGTAACTTAACTAACGGACAAAAACACAATAGAAAACATTTTTTCCATCTTATTAAAGTACAAGCTAATGTTGCAGCATTGCTAGCTGCTGCTACAGGAAGTTAGAAAAGCTGAAAACTCCCCTGACCTTCTGCTTCAAATGTGAGGTAATTCATTAACAAACCCATCCAAGTGCTTCACAGGTTCTGCGTAACCATAACAACCAGATAAATTATTAGACGTGCAAACACACCGGTCCCAGTCAACAGATATCTACAGTCTACAGCTGAAATGGTCACTGTGTGGTCTTGGAAAGCTGTACTCATAAACACAAAGTTTTCAAAGCACCAACTCTGTTTAGGTTTACCGCCAATAAATTTAGGACATGTAGTTGTAGCTCTAACTTAAAATCTGTATAATAGTGATGATTAAAAAACACATAAAAATGATTATTAATCACTTGTATTTTGATCTATTTGAGATGAAACAGTTTATAACTTCTGATTTTGTACAAATATTGTGAATCAGTGTCATTATAGGGATTAATCACAATCCTTCTTTATTTATGTCTAATTCATTAAACATTTCTCTATATTCCTTTTCTCAGAAGAATGCTGCATTTTGTTTTCACCTCTAACAAAATGGCATAATGATGCATTGTGAATACTATGTAACCCGATAACTTGTGTGGGATTTTATGTTCTCAGTTTATTAAAGAAACACTGAGAAGCGCCCTACTGGTTGAAAGTGGAATTACAACAGTTGTAAACAACACTGCTGTAGCTAGCGCTAACGAGCTAACACTGAGTCAGCTAATACTAAAATAAACCACAAAGTTAAATGATCCACACTGTTGGACAAAAATATTATTTACAAGTCCAGTAGCAACAAAGCCAGGTCACCATCAGTCCATGTTGTTGTAGTCTCCTTTAGCTCCCTTAAACTAGCGTATGCAGCGCCGATGTTCACTCTGGTTTTAACTCTTTGCTTTGCCTCCATAGACATTACTCTTTTATTTTTACTTCAAGGCTCCACTGTGATGCCAACAGAAAAAGCAAACTTTTTCCTTCTTTTTCTTGTACTTTTTATTGACAATCGGCAAACTGAAAATGCTAACTACTAGCATTACAGTTAACTCATTCACTGCCAACGTTTCTCACCGTTTTCACTGTTTTTTAAGAGTCACAGAACGTTGCGCGCTAGGATGATGTCGACGCCAAAACAACCAAAACAAAGCGGAGAATCACCTCTTACATCAGGAAGAATCCGCGTGTTTCGAGCTTTATTCGTTCTTTCATAATTCATTGTTGAATTGTGATCGGCAGAAGCTTTTCCAGTTCGCGCCTCACTTTTTTTTACAGCAGCCATCCCAAACGATCTCCTAACACATGGATTTTCTGCTTCCTGATCACGTGACGTGTGACGTATGCGGATGGAGATTGGCTTCAGAGCTGAGATGTTTGTTCTCACGGTGCGGGGGCTCGTTCCGATGCCCACACAGTAAAAACATGCAAATGACGACTTTAGTCATCATTGGCAGTGAATGAGTTAACGGTTGTAAAGCAGGTAAAGAGTGCCCCCTGTAGAGCGCCTACCAAGACCACAAAATGATGTGGTTTTTTGCCAACAGAGGGCAGCCGAGTGGTGTCAAATATGAAACCGGTCAAGTTCTAACCCGGGGGTGGGGAACCCTGGTCCATCGAGGGCCGCTATCCAGCATATTTTAGTTTCAACCCTGCATCACCACCAGTAGCGGTTTTAGGCACGGGCAGACAGGGCAGTTGCCCGGGGCGGCATTTTTTCATGACACAAAAGGGGCGCACAAGCGCTGAGTAAAAAAAAAAAAAAAAAAAAAAAGGAAATCTGCGCCGCACCGAGGTTTTCTATTATCTGTCATATGACAGTGTCTGGATTGGAAACAGCAAGTTGGCGCCCCCTGCAGCTGCAGGCGCTCCGTGCACCGTGTGTGTATGAAGAAGAGGAAGGGGAGGGGTGCGGCGGGGGAATTCACCTCTGGGTGGGTCCAAATGAAATGAGTGGGTAGGGGCTGAATCAACTATCAACATGGCTAAAGTCGATCACATCTTGATGTTCTTCCACATTTCATTCATAATATCATAAACACAGGCCTATCATTCTTTCAGGTGTTTCTGAATTGTGTGAAATGGCCGAATAAAAAAAGGAAAAACAAAACGATTTTGTGGTCACCCCCCTATCAAGGTCAAATTGTTTAGTCCTGACTAAAGGAAACTTATTGAGTCAAGAGCCAAACAGAAGAGATGAACATAAAAAGGCTAAAACCAACAGGTGCCCGATTCAGGAATAAAAAAGAAAAAAAGAGGAGAAAAATAAAGGTATGTTCGCTCTC